TAACGTGTTTTGTTTTTTTGATTGGTGAAAATGGAATGATAACTTCGCCTGCTAACGGGATACGCTGGCGGAGCACTAGCAGTTTATTCAACCCATCATGATGAATTTATCAGGAATTAACCATGATCGTTTCCAGGGAGAACCGCGAGGCGGTCGACCTGGTTGGGTATATTGCACTATAATTGAATAGTTTAAAAAAAATAGACCTTAGTATCTGAATGGAGAAAATATTAAAATGGAAGATTAAATTTTTTTACTGATCTAGGTGTTATTTTGCAGAAGGCCATATCACTAGTTTTTTTTTTTAAATTCTGTATTAATTCTTTATTGTACACAAAAAGTTATTGAAGTAGAAAAACAAACATAATAGTGCACAAAGACGAGCTTATCTCTAAAAGACATTTTTTTCGGCAAACCTAATATGAGAAAAACTTACAGTTTATTAGTAAGTTACGGTCATTTATGTGTACCAATCGACTTAAATGTTATAGTTAAAAATAAATATTTTTTTTTGTTTATAACTCAGGAGCAAACGAATGTGCAGCTTAACTATCGTCGCCCATAAGCAGTTAATTTATTTTTAATAGTAGTGGAATTAAACTAATTAATGGACATTTTTTGTGGTATTTCGATCGATGTTCCTTTAAAAAGAATTTTTAATATTATATATATATATATATATATATATATATATATATATATATATATATATATATATATATATATATATATATATATATATATATATATATATATATATATATATATACATCTTTTAAATGATACTGTTTATTTTGGTTAAATCCTTTGTGTGCAGAGTACCTTTCTTGATTTTTTATTTTAAAATCGATTATAGAATTATTCTAAAATCAATTTTTCATTTATATATATATAGTAGACTAAGTTTTATCCCTGAAAAGCGGTTATGGTTTTTTTTTAATTAATAAAAAACGAGTTTACACTGTTTTCCCTGTATGTAAGTAGCAGTAAAGGATAGTAGGTAACGATAAAATTAGGTCAGTTGACCTACTGGGTCAGGAAGTAACCACGTTGGAGATTGCGTGAAGGAAAAGGGAAAATGGAAAACAAAAGTTTTTATTTTATACTTTCTGTTGTTTCTGTAATCTACCTTAATCCTAAATACACAAATTCACTTGCAAAATTTAATTCAAATCTGTTTAGTCTTTTAAACGTGATTAATAGATATCTAAATAATTATTTTCATATCATTCTTTAACTGTCCATTGCTGAATACAAGCTTCTCCCTTGGGGTGTTTTGCCAATAATTGCCACGCTTGGCAGGCGAGTTAGCAACCGCAGTTAGGTTTTAGAGATGTTTTAAGAGGGACGCTTATCTCTCGCCCTCTTTTAATCGCCTCTCACGACACCTACGGGAAAGGAAGGGGTGGCCTATTCTATGCCGGGTCCATACTGCTAATATTTCTATAAATTTTCATATTCATCAGTAGGAAGTGGGGTTTAAAAAATAACTCCAAAGGTTATAAATACTTCCCCCTTTCAGTTAATTATATTACTAAATACAGAATAGACTGTCTACGCAAACCGCCCGCGACTATTTCGATTAAATATGAATGAATGCTATCTATGACGCGCGTCACTAAAAATACTGTGACCGACACCAAATGATCGTGTATTCCGGTCACTATATGAAAATGTTCACGTGACCTGTCCATCATATCGATGTGTATCAGGGGCAATGTATTGAACGAAATTAATGGGCAATTATTTTATGGTTACACAAGAGTGGGTGAGGTATTTGGAGTTTCAAGGTGAAGTGCAGTGTCTGTTGATCTTGATACAAGAAATCAATTGGGAGTTAACCAAATTAGGAAACGGATTTTTCTGATTTGGCGTCAGGTCATCTATACTACTCTTCCTTACAGGGACGCAGGTACGAGTCTCGAGTAAAACTCTTCGCCCGGATATCAATCTAGAATCGAGGGCCTGCCATTCTCCCGTCAATATTTTGGGCTTTTGATTTTTCTGAATCTTTTCGAGTTTGGATATTCTGGGTTAAGCCTTTAGATGTTCGTTGCATGATTCCTCATAATATAGCTTAAGGATCAGATCGGTGACTGTAATTGCGTAGCATTTATTAAATTCTATTTATTATGTCTATTCTCTTCTCTTTTAGTATCTGAGAATTAACTCTTAAGTGGCATCTCTGGGACCACGCGTCTTTTAAATTTAGTCACTTAGTTCCATGTTGTCTTTTAAATTGCAAGTTAATGGCTTTTAATAAGTGTTCAATTTTGTGTTCTAAATTCAAATACTTTCAATTCTAATTTGTCTTCAAAATATCTTGATATAATCATCGGTGTGTTTATTCATAATGGTGTATAAACACATCGATAAAAAATACCTTTAATGGATGGTATTGTTTTTTTTTTTTTGTTTTATTGCAGCGTAAAATGTATTTATTTCCAAATTTAATCCTTATTAATATTATAAATGTAAAATCGAGTTTGTATGTTGCCTCTTGACGCTTCAACGACTCGACCAATCGACACGAAATTTGACATAAACGTAATATTTGGGACGTAAGGCATGGAGTATTTTTTATCCTGTCAATAAATTACGTCCTCTTCACACGGATAAATTCAAGTGAAAATATTTCGATAGTCATTAAAAAGATACTACAATCAGTAATTATTATTCATCAACTCATCATTTCAGCCTTTAATTGTCCACTGCTGAACATAAGCCTGCCCCTTGAGGGTTTTGCCAGCAGTTGTACGCTTAGCAGGTGGATTGGCAACCGCATTTAGACTTTGGAGATGTTTTAAGAGGGATGCTGCTGCCCATCTCTCGTCTTCGCTTAGTCGATTCTTACGACATTCACGGAAAAGAAAGGAGTGGCTCATTCTACGCGGCTAATTATTATTATTAGATACAATATATATATATATATATATATACAATTATGGTTTTCAGTTACTATATAAAAAATACTTGTAAATTAATGCCGAACACTTGTTGATTATTTGAATCCGTATAAACACAAAGACACAGCGAGAGACACGCATGCACCTACAGACACACGCACACGCACACACACACACACGCACGCACGCACGCACGCACGCACACACACACAACTCCCAGATTAAATTATAATAAATTATCTCTTCCTATAAATTATATTTTTTTGAATTCACTTATTATATTACAAGTACTTACGTAACCTGATGGAGAGAGGTAACCGTCGCCTATAGATGACCTGTAATACATGTTCTTATACCTATCTCTGACATCAGTCTCTCACAATTATATTTATAATTTGGTTACTTTAATATAAGTATGTCTCATTGTATTTCTCTCTAATGAATTGTGAAAAGAAAATAAATCTATTTATTATTATTATTATTTACTATTATTGTAGTCACGCACTCGTTACGCCCTTATACTGAGCGTTACGTGGGCGTTACTCGACGCCTCGGAAGGTCAAGGTCACAATACGTTCTCAGGGATTTCTCGGTACGCGGGAGGGTTAACTGACTGACATATATCAACCCTAATCAGTCTAACGGACGTTCTGTCCATATTTCCTGGATGAATCAGCTCAAAAACTCTCGAGTTTTGCTGTCGAAAATTCAACGGAATTTCAGTTATATTAAATTTTGTTTGTAATTGACGTGAATGTGGATGATGATACTTGTTCAGGACTAGGGTACGATGATTTAAATGGTAGAGTTTTGTGAGATTTTATAGGGTTGGTCGTTTCACATATTCATACTACATGATATCAGCCGTTAATCGTCCACTTCTGGACATGGGCTTCTCCTTAAGGGAGTTTTTCCTGTAGTTGCAAGCTGCAATCGCAGTTAGGCGTTGGCGATGTTTGAAGAGAGACGCTGCTGCCCACTCCTCGATTATTAAGTTCTCTTAATCATCTCTTACGACACCTACAGGAACGAAAGGGATGGCGAATTCTCTGCCAGGACTACACGGTCGTTCAATCTGCATATACGGTTCATAATACACAATATTAAAAAGAAATTATTAAAATATATCAAAAATAAACAACATCAAACATAACGGATCATATCAATGAACGACAAGAAATTTACATGTTTTAAATATTTGAATTTGGAATGCGCATAGTTTTTGTTTTGCAATTTTATTTGTTGCGAGGAAAAGTCTAGTTAGAATCATCTAGTTTTTTCCTTAGAATAATAGCGAAATGAATATATGCCCAATAAGAGTATCGTGATTGCAAAAAATATATAATATATAAAAACTTCCTTCTGGTGATGTTGTTTAAAAAATACAATATTCTTCATCGCTACCAAAGCGACCGGTCAATGAACTCAGTAGATAGATTTATTTCAACCAAATCCGTTCAACCGTAATCTTTTAGACACTTCGAAAATCTTGATTCAGTATTAAATGTTCAGACATGTTTACAAATTGTTATATTCATATAACTCTTGTAAATGTTAACATTCTACGTTAAAGTTGCCTTATAATCGTTAAATACCGATTAATAATCGATTTTCTACTAAAATCAATATATGATAATCATTTGCATAATCGATAGTTCGATAAAATCGATTATAATTAACTAAAGTACCATTCATCGATACAATAGGTTGATTGGTAGTATCAAAAGGATGTACTGAAACAATCAATTATAATATAAAATATATTTTAACCCTTAGTATTGTTTTAAATTTGTTATCAAAGCATTCGACGAAATTACATACTACAATTTATTATACATTCAGTTCGACAGCATTGATTTATTTCATAGTATCGATACAATCAAGTCGTTGGGTTAACGGATATTATCGTTTAATCGATAATATACGTTTGCCTAATGACTTGATTCTATCGACTATTAGGAAATATTACACTTTTCCATCGAAAAATATTATTTAAAAAAATATTTATATTCAGTTTTAGACAGATATATTTCTAAATAGCGCCATCTAGTGAAGATGGATATATAAAATAAATGTATTTTTTTCTATTTCCAGGATATTGTAACGCATAATGACAACACAGCGATGACGCCTGGTCTCAAGATGGAGTCGAAGGGCACCCAGATCCATCTGCCTCTGATGGGTCGGGGCTCCCGGGGTGAAATCAACGATAAAGTCCTATTCTCCCAAATGAAGTCGCCGCCTTATTCTGAACAGCTCAACAATGGACAGCTGACGGGGTGAGTTGGTCATTTTGTATCTTTATTTTTGTCAAATAAAAAAATAGAGGTAGTTGCGTAAAAAACAGCCCAATTATATAGTATGTTTATTATAGGTAAATACTTACAATAATACGATATATTATATCTAACCACCTGTACGAATATACAACAATCTTAGATTATATAGATAGAGCATCGAGCTTCAAAAACGGGTCAATTTTTTGTCATCTAATTGTCAAATTAGCTGCCACGTTTTTTTATCAGTGTTCTGTATACTTACGCACATAATGTATCTTGACGTATCTATACTTAATTATTTAATAAATAAAATGAGTTTTTTCCGCATTAAAAAGATACAATTACATTATAAAACAAAATAAATATGGAAGTTATAAAGGAAACATTCATACCTATGTATTACGTAAAATTCTAAGAAAAATTTGTATGGAGACACTCCATCTTTATATATATATTTTCTTAATAACATTGAAATTCTTATTTTTTTTTTTACAATCCAATCGATCAATCAATTAATCCCAAAATCTGTTCAACTACAAAAAATATTAAAATCATTCGCTATACAACCACTGTTTAACTGTAAACTAAGGAGCTCTACTATGACGTAGACTTGTAAATATGAATGGGTAACGGATATTGTATTTTCAGTGCCACTATCGAACAAACTTGAAACTATATTGAATATTAATAAATATTTATTGATTTTATATTATATATATAATAACTATGCCCATGTAATTTTCATTTCCAATGGTTATTTGATTAGAATTATTTTGTTTAATTCCGCTACCATTAGTATGTGTGTAACTGCCAATATTTGGAGATTGACTGCAACTATTATTAGTAGACGATCCACGACCGTCCATTAGCAGTGGCGGATTTGCCCTAAGGCCCAGGAGGCCCGGGCCTAGGGCTGCCAAACATTAGTGGCGGCCAATCATGACAAAAAATTCTCTGATGATTACAAGATATAACTCAAAGTACGTATAACTAACAGAAACCTCGTAAAATATTACAAACTAGCAGATTTAAATAAATTTCTGAATCGATTTCGATAAAAGTTGGCAAAAAAGTAATTCATTATGTTCTCAATATGATGGGTGCTGAGAAAGGGATGGCTGGTATTTACTACATGGCTTGGGGCCTAGGACGGCCAAGACTGGAAATCTGCCACTGCATATTAGTCATCAATCTCCGACAGTTATTCAGTCCACGCACAGTAATAATTTTAATCGACTAACCAGTGATATGGACTTTCACATAATAACACCTAGTTCAGTAAAATATTTTATTTTCAAGGCGATTTGTTATTCTAAATATTTAACAATGTTTTTCTTATGAAAACAAAGCTATTCAAACTGAATATTTACTTATTAATATCCAATACATTTGTGTAAATATGTTTTGAGCAAACTATATTTATTAGATAGGTACATAATATTAATTTTAGAGTATTGCACTTAAGTTCGTAAGCGACATTTTTTTTTTAATAAATTACAAACTTGTAGTGAGAAAATTGTTTATTAATAACACGAAAATAAACCCTCATAATAACAAAATAAAAATCACATTTTATTTTTCAAAACAAAACAAAAAATTACTTCAATAGTCAAAGGATACACCGATGAACCATACAAAATATTCCATAAATTTATTACATTTATGCAAATATTTAAATTTAGAACATGGCATTATATATCTACATATAATATTTCTAAGATTGCAATTAATAGTTTTTTGTTTCTCAAAGAAATGCGTCACATAGTTGCAAATAAATTTACTTATTTAACTTTCGTATACATAATAAAGGCACACATTGGTAAACATAGCACCTAAAGGCGTTTTCTACCAGTCAACCATGGGGCAAACATGGTTGGTGGCGGTATTTTGTAATAAAAGGGAAACTGTTAAAAACACATGCATTAATATAAAATATCGAATATATAAATATATAATTGAAAGATGATTTAAAAATTACATCTTTCTGGAAAATGTTTTAAAATTGCTACATAATCTATCGTGTGGAATAGGCCACCCATTCCTTTCGCGTGGGTGTGTTTTATTTAAGTATTACAAGATAGTATTAAATCGTCATAGTCGTAGAATACTGACGGATCTTTATATGTAATCTTTGTCAGATCCGTCAGTATTCTACGACTATGACGAAATAGTAGCTTACGTCCTTCTTCATTCCATATTTACGATTGGTCAAGTCCTTAAAGCCCTTTCACTTTCACATTTATATTATTAATAAGGATTGTGTAATATACGCACAATAATTAAATTGTTTCATAAGAAAAAAAAAACCGATTTCAATTATGAAAAAGCCAGTTATTTTTATTTAAAAACTAAATCACTGATTTTGATAAAATTCATTTAAAAATAGAATTTTCCAAATCCGTTTACAACTGGTGAAGTTATGAGATGCCAAACATAAAGTAGTAGGGGGAATGGGATTGTTAGCAATGGAATTTGACAGCCCCATTGCTAGCAATATGCCCTATTAGGTCGACCTCCACGTGGTTCCCCCTGGAAACCATCGTGAACAATTCTTGTTGAATTCGTCACGATGGGCTAGCTGACCTGCTTCATCCTTACCTATCATTCTTCACTAGTGCCCCGCCGGTGTATACCGATAGCGCGGGTGGAGTTACCATTCCATTATCACCCATAAAAAAAACATAAAGTAATAAAGTCAAATTGAGAACCTTTTTCTTTTAGAAGTGTATTTAAAAAAAAATTAAGAAACTCCTTTTACTTTTCGAAGCTGCTTAAAAATAAAAAAAGGATAAAGCTTATTGTCTCGAAAAGTTTACGAATCTACATCTCGACCACACATATTCTATGTCTCGACATTTTTATATTAGACAATTTAAAGCGTTCTTATTAAGACACGGCAAAATGTGTGCTTATGTTTATTTCATTTAGTTATGTGGTGCTATGGAAATGTGTGGCCATGAGTAAATTGACGTGGCGTGTCGCGCCGCGAGCAACAACCGCCATATATTTGAATAAATAATTTAGTTTGCGCGATACGCCTTATCATCACATAACCGAGTTATGTGTCAAAATAGCACATTTTTGAATTAGACTAGATTAAATTGTGACGATGACGATGTAATGTTATTTTTTTATTGAACAAGCTGACGGTTTACGTGGTAGGATATAATACCATCGCCCGTAAATATTTGTAACAAGTGACGAATTAATACTTGATATACTTTTAAAGTTTTAATAAGTATCAGTTATTGTAGATAAGTAAGGATGATTAAATTAGTTGGTCCGTCGTGATTTATTTATTTATTCTTTATTGACCATATTCTTAAGTCCGCCTTTTGTACCAAAAAATATTGGTACAAAAGGCGGACTTAACATTCTCTACCAGTTAACCTTTGGCAAAACAGAAATGTAATTCTCACGCTAAGGTAAGGCAACGTATAATTTTTTTATAGGTAATAATGGAATGGTAACCCCACCCGCGCTATCGGTATACACCGGCGGGGCACCAGTGAAGGATGATAGGTGAGGATGAAGCAGGTCAGTTAGCCCATCGTGACGAATTCAACAAGAATTGTTCACGATGGTTTCCAGGGAGAACCACGTGGAGGTCGATCGAATAGGGCATATTGCTAGCAATGGGGCTGTTAAAATTCATTGCTAACAATCCCTTTCACCCCAACGTATCATATTGCCTCTGTCATTACTTACGTATTTACATTTTTTTTTATACAACTTAGAATGGCAAACAGCTGACGGTCCACCTGATGAAAAGTGGTAACCGTCGTCTATAGACATGTGCAGTACCATGGACATAACAGAGTATACTGTTTCGCCCATAATGCCCCCCATGCGTTGCCATTCCTAAGGACTCAGGTATTATTCCTCTGTACCCAGTAATTTCATCTCGTCTTTATCCACTTTCATAATTCGTATTAAAGCATGCACGTCAGTTCTAAACACTCTTGACTACTCCACCAGATTGTGTATGATAATTAAAAACTATTTATAAAATACTTTTATCGCAAATGGATCCGAGCAAATGGCTACAGTTGTGCCAAATTTCATCACCGTTAGCAATATCTGATAGATAATGAAACAACGACCGTGACCTACAGTGAGGAGAGACAGGCGAAGCCCAAAATATCTTGGTGTCACAGGGAGTTGACGGATGCACTGCAACACAATGGCTCCAGTTGTCTTATCCTCAAGCTAGGAAAGATACCATTAATTTCTTCATACATTATTAATTTTGTATTTTTTTAATTAAGTTATTAATTATTTATTTATTCATTATTACGTGTTTGTGTACAGGATGGATTTAATGCTAAAAGCATTCTCTCCCAGTCAACCTTAGGGAAATGTCAGAATGCTCGAATACGGCACTAGTAATAATTTGTATACATACATACTACAATTTACATATATAAATATACTTACATGTATATAAGATATATTATGGGAATAATAGATAGTACTTATTGCTTGGATAAAGTATAAAAGTGAATATAAACGGTCAAGGAACGTATTCCAGAGCCGTGAAGAATATAAGATTAAATTTATTCTTTATTATTCAATTCCATTATTATTATTATTCAATTTTATCCTTTACTTCGTTTATTTATTCTATAACTAATTAATTTATTCATTGATATATCTTGTGTTATGAAAAATCAGGTTTCATTATACAATATCCAAATTTATACAAACTCGTTGCCGAAATTAAACCAACCGAGATTTGAACTCGGGGGATTGAAAGCAACGGACAGCGTAACACTACAAAGAACTACTTTTACAAATACATAATGGTATTTTCTATTGATTATCGGAAAGTCATAAAGTAGGAAAACAGTCTCGTATCGAGAATTACATTTATCCGCACATACATTGCATTCCGAGCTACGAATAATACTATATTCGCAGATTCCGGGCCGTTCTGTAATGGCTACACGTCACTTGGCTGCGTTCCAAGGAGTTGTAAGTCTAAATATCTGAAACGAGTG